TATGAAAATTGTCTGTGATAGGAGCAGAAAAATCATCCTCTTTGTGCTTCTAAGTGCAGATAAACCACCCATTGACGAGCTACATCAGTTTTTAGAGTTTCAACTTCCAAGGCAGTGGGCACCTGTATTTGGGGAGCTTGCCCTTGGTCCTGAAAAGAAGCAACAAAGCAGTGCATCTCTTCAGTTGAGCTTTATGGGTCCAAAGCTCTATGTTAACACAACTCCGGTAATGCCCAGTTATGAGAATAGTTGCATCCTTTATCTGTGTGGGTGATGTGTTTAACTTAATGGCTAGTTGTTTTTGAAACTACCACTTGATTTTTCATGTTTCGGGATCAATATTTCCTAGGGAATCAATTATCATTGATACATCCTCAAGAAGTAGGGCTTCGAGGTAAATATAATGATGATATGCAAATGCGATCAATTATTTAGAAAAGCAGTCTTAATCGGCTCATTAGAAGTTTGCACCTTCACCTTTTCGTTCCCATTTGGAAGTTTGGCTGAGTGCATCTTCTCACATCAATCAAAGAAGTGTTGCCTCGGAACAAGCTCACTAAACAACATATGGTACCAAATTGAAAGTTGTCAACAATTGTTGGCATATCAGCGACATTTTAGCATAATGACATGTCCCACTAATATTGCATGGAACGGTAGGACCAAAGGGATGAAAATGCCAGTTTCAAGCTTTCTTTCTGAGCTCATGTAGCACCATAAACGAAGTTGCAATGGGCAATCTTATTTTGTTTGCTTATCAGTGTCCTTATTCAAAATTCATTCACAGCAAGTACTGAATAAGAGCTGAACAGTAATTCTGTTATATAAGATAATGGTGGGAAATAACATCTTAATCTCATACTAGATTGGTGCACTTGGGATGCAGATTGACTTTGATATCCTTCATAGGATAGTTAGACTACTCATTGAAGATTCAGTGTAGATGATTGAACTGCAATTGCGCTTTCGGCAGCTGCTTTCAGATCTTCTGTTACATACAGCAGTTCTTCTTTCTCATTTCCAGATGAGTGTCAAATATCAATGCTGAATGAGTAATGCCATCCTATATGACGTGCATGCAGGTTGATGTAGGCAAGAAGCCAGTCACTGGCCTTCGGTTATATCTGGAGGGGAAAAGAGGCAACTGCTTGGCAATCCACTTGCAGCACCTTTCATCATTGCCCCAGACCTTCCAACTAGTGGATGAGTCAAACGGTCACTTCTCCAATCCTTCATCAGACCGTCGATACTATGAGAAAGTTCAATGGAAGAGCTTCTCACATGTTTGCACGGCTCCTGTTCAGTCTGAGGAAGATCTCTCCATCGTCACAGGGGCCCATTTTGAAGTGGGGGACTCTGGCTTGAAGAAAGTTCTGTTCTTGAGGCTTCATTTCTCAAAAGTTATCGGTGCCACAGTAGTGAAAAAAGCAGAATGGGCCGATTCCCCTGCCTCACACCAAAAATCCGGCATTATCTCGACCTTGATTAGCACTCGTTTCTCGACTGGTCAGAAACAACCTCCCCCCAAACCATCTGATGTGAACATTAACTCTGCGGTCTATCCTGGAGGTCCTCCTGTGCCAGCCCAAACCCCTAAACTGTTGAGGTTCGTTGACACTACGGAGATGACCAGAGGACCACAGGACTCACCCGGGTACTGGGTTGTATCAGGAGGAAGGCTTCAATTGGATAAAGGGAAGATATCACTTCGAGTCAAGTATTCTCTTTTGACTGTGATATTACCTGATGATGAGGTCGATATGGATTTGTAGGTGCCTGCTGTTTTTTTCCTGTTCTATACAGAATGTTTCACCAAGCCATGGTGTTGTACTTTAGCTTACGAGGTCGATTATGAAGATGTGAGCAATTCATTTAGGAGATTGATGTGCGTTGTATATAGATAATATACATTGCTTTATGTAATTTTTCTCCTATACTTTTCTTTTGGCTTATTGGTATAACTAATTGTAAGTTAAGCATGTGCAAAGTCAGAAACAATAATTGTTTACTCTTCATGCAGGTTTTCTTATTCTTAGATTCAAGTTGAATGGTTATCATATTAGTTATGTTGTCATTATGTCTCGAGTTCGAGTTGGATTGAGTGCAGGACATTGGTGTAGTGATAGTTTTCTGCTGGGTATTTATAAATATAGATGTGTCTCCCAATAATGTTAGATAAAGGTGACACTGAAATTAAGCCGTGTTGAGGGTTTGTGATGGCTCTGCAAGAGACTAGAGTGGAAGTTTCTTGAGAATTGCCTGAAAAGCTTGTAAATGAGTTCATTGAATCTACACCAACTGTTTGAGTAATTAGAGTGATTGTAATATCCCTTGTATCACTTGATTTTTAGTGAAATTTTTTGTCATTCTTCTCACGGATGCATGTGATATTGATCGAATATTGTGTGCTTAGTGTGTGGTCAATTTCCTTATTTTTTTTCTTATTTATTGTGTTCAATTAGCTTCGTTTCATAGCAATTGGTGTCGGAGCTTTGGTTCGAAGGTTGAAGTAGATTACTGGCGAAAGAAGAAGGAAATGTGAAAATCACCAGATTTGATGACGCTAATTTGATTTGGAAGATAGCATATTAAGAGTTCTTTGTGTTGTATCGAAGGAGTTCCAATCCAAGGGCATCTGCATAAGGTTCAATTCTTTAAAATTCATTCTAAGTCTCCATAGATCAATTCATTAAGATCAATACCCACTGGATGTGCCATTTGATCAATTCCCACCTCTTCGCCCTCGTAGAAGCTTGTCTGGAATCGCACCTTGACCAAACTCAAATGCTTTGGTCTCCAATCTCAAGATCGGCTTGTGCTTAACTTGTTCATGAGCTATACATCTATTAAGGGTTTCTGTTTTGATGCTATTTGTAACGATCTGACTTGCTCACATAATTTAAGCCCCCAAAAGGAGTATTTAGATAACCATTTGATGCAATGACCATTTGGACGTGACTCTTACTTGTGAGTATTATCATAAGGTCTTCCTTCATTCCTAGTTGGAAGAAACTCATGCCTTTGATTGAATGAGTTACAAATAGAGACATTACTCATATTTAACATTAGTAAAGGCTTCATATGGGGGATTTTCATAACTTGTACTCACAAATTAAAGGTTTGATCAAAAGAAATTTCATCATGCTGGAGGAGATAGCGGAAAATATTGCTCGTCTTTAAATATCACAATATATGCCATTTTCATAACTTGTATGTATGGGCGATTTTCATAACTTGTACTCACAAATTAAAGGTTTGATCAAAAGAAATTTCACCAGGCTGGAGGAGATGGCGGAAAATATTGCTCGTCTTTAAATAACGCAATATATATGCCATTTGCTTTTAGTTTGGTGCATTGTAACTTCTAACAATTTAATCATTTGAATTAGAGGACATACATGAAAGATTTGATCCTATTCGAAGTATCATTTGCAGGAGCTACTTTTTGAACTACAGAAATGAGAGTGTCCCCTCACGATTCTTATTGCTCATTTCAATCTTCTTGGCCAAGTCAAAGCCTTCAAGGCATTCACAAAACTGCTAGACTTTGGTCTGCTGAACAGCATAAACTGACTTTGGCAAAGAATTAAGATCTCTACAGATTAGCTAAACAGTCTCAAAAAAAAGTTGAACTCGATAGCAGTGTATCCCCGAATTTAGAAGTAGAAACAGCTTCAGTAAGAAATCCAGCCATTGGCTAAAGTCGACTGGAAAGTGTTAAGATCTGATGAAGTCTTGCAGCCACAAAAAAAGGGCTCCTCATATCTTTTGCAGGCTCGAAATTGCTGATGAAATTTTTCAAGAGAAGGCAGAAGACATATCACAAGCATATGGTATCACCTTAAGATGTATCTATTAATTGCTTGCCACCAAAAGTTCCACCATTCTCATCCAACCAATGACAGCATATGATTGCATTTACAAAATGCTCAGAAGGGAGCTTTAGCCTTTCAACTATCAAGGAACGAAAAATAAATATAATATTTTATTGGCAAATAAATCAAAATGTGGGTTTATAACAACAGTTGAGAGCCTTTAATGGTGCCTTCAACTGGAAAAGAAAGTGTTATTTTATTTTTTACTTACATTTACTAAACATTTGATGGAAATATTGATTTCCATCATTTGAATATTGCTTATTTGTGGGTTTATTACATGAATGGCAAAATTTGAATAAAATGGCGTTTTATATTATCTCACCGATCAATTTTTAAAATGATGAGTATGTGTTTATATTGGGGTAGTGGAGATATTTTTATCTTTTTAATTATCTAAGATAGAATGTGTATTCTGACAAAAAGAAGAAGAAGACAGAATGTGTACATTATTCCGTCTATGATTAACTTATAAAGTAGCAAGCAAATTCGCACACGTGTTGCATGGATGCACAAAGTTGACATTTGACCAATTAAATAAAACCACTAGAAACACTTGATGAAGAAAAATTGTTGATAAGATACATTACAAAAATATTATATAGGGAAAATTACAGATATGAACCATAATTTTGCTCTCCTATCAACTCCCCTCGTCACATTCCAAAATCTATAATTACCGTTCTCACTCTTTTGCATCAGATTTCAAGTTGCATCTCTCACCCACATATAATTTACAACTCACCATTTTATTCTCAAATTATCCCATCCCCACCCTTGCATTTCACTTTTTGGGTGTAAATTGCGGTGCGCATGGGGACAGATAGGTCTTTTAAGTTGGAAAGATGCACAAATATTGATTTCAAATTGTGAAGATGATATTTGATAAGGAGAGCGAAGCTCAGCATGGGTTTTTGCAATCATCCCAAATACAGATAGATATTTCAAGATTTGAACCTACAACTTAAATTTAACAATTCCCAAATAATCAAGTAAAATGACAATTTTACTTATATAAGAGTTGGTAATTTCAAATAGGAGTTGATAACTTACGCTTCATAAATAATTATTGGCAAACTGTCAAAGTAGTTGATAATCTCGAAAAGTGTTGGAATTCGAGGAAAATAATATAAATGAGTCCTAAACTTTTCAATCGGTTCCATCAAAATCTTATACCTTTACCAAAGGTCCATGCCGTAAAAAAAACGAAAAAGAAAAAGAAAAAGAAAGCATCGTAAAGTTCCAGCTTACTCAATCATTGACCAGCTCATCACATATCAAGCAGACAATAAGTGAATGCTTCCGGATAAAAAAAAAACTCGGAAGGCCTTTTACTGCGTTGTATGAAACTCAAGAGAATGCTTAAACGGGGCAAGCCAAGTCTTCCTGGCTGTTTTGTTCATCAATGAGATCAGTCGACGCGACAGAGGGTATCCTATGGCGCTTCAAAATTGTAGAGGTGGCAATTTTAGCCATACGATAGTTGAATACAATTACCCTTTCATCGTCCAAATCAAATCGTATGCTTTCACCACTGTAGTCCTCCACAAGCCGGTACAAATGCCTCAAATTTTCAATTTCAATGCCATTCACCTTCCTCACCTGTCAACCACAATATAAGAATATTTTCACAAAAACAGGACAACTTCCTAGTGGAGAAAAAACCAGCGGGCATAACCCCCAACCACCGAGACTAGAAAAAACTAGTGGAGCAATTTGTAAGTTGGCCAGACTAAAAATTGACAGCACTGATTTTCTTCATAATGTTTGTTTTGATTTTCCTTTCTACCTTTATTTTTTCCAATCGATCGGTAGTACGATTAAATGGCGTGAGATTGATCGTACGCGTTACAAAGAAAGCATAACTGTTGAATTCTACCCTTCCAAATTCTTCAAGTGACCACAGGAAATATCCTCTTTTTAAAAAGACACAAGTTCAACAATGAAATTCATCAATCCCACGATGCAGGTACCTGTAATTCTGCAAGACGTTCATACCCCGCATTGATGTCATCCATCAGGACCTGTAGCAGTCAGCATTTGTTAGTAATTCGAACAAAGCCTTTAGATTTACCTTTCTAGTCTTCTTTCACGTCCTATAATAATCTCAACAGATTCAGTTTTTGGGACATTATAATAGTTTGAGATATCTGGCTATTCCTTGCACTGCCACCTCTTGCGCATGATGAAAAGGAGCATGGTTCCCAACCGATATTACATCTTGCAGTCACAATGACCAAGTATCAGACTCAAGAAAGGCTTGTCATATCACTTACAACATTCGTTAAGTTCAGCATATACATCCCTCATAGCTTTTAATCAAACACAGGTTCTCGATCATCCTATCTAACAAAAATTTACTGCTGATAAAAGAAGTCAACAGGCTCTAGTAGAATGTGGAAGAATACAAACCTGTGAAAGAATAACGAGTTGTTCGCCAGCATTTTTGGGAAGTTCTCTTAGTGCACGTTCACACAACCGCCGAGGCGATGAGTTATACCAGTCTTCACCATATTCGTGAAGGTAGGGTTGGGTGAGTGGAACAAAAATCAGACCCGCAAATATGTAATAACTTGGAAGCTTGTCAAACTGATGTACTGGAACTAACTGTTGCAACTGCAAAATTTATTATTTTTCAAATGTTAACAACTGTAACAGCCTTCCTAAATTCTCTCTTTGCTGACAAGGGAAGCACACATATACAAAGATCAATCAACATATACTTAGTACACAAATGGGTGGTAACTGTAGGGGCTACTGAGTACATCCATCATTGCTTCATGTTATGCAGTTAGAATGGGCTCATGTGAAATGCAAAGAATGACAGAATTATCCCATGAGGGCGAGCCTCGGAGGGTAGCAAGTTATTTTGATCATTCTATGCTCTACTTCAGTTAGAGATCGATGAAGTTAAATCCAAGAAGTCTTTCAAGTATTTCTCGACAGATCATGATGAGTATAAGGGAATTGTGCATTCTGATTGGAATAAAGTGGTGACTGAATATCCAATGTATTGCTCATTGCTCATTAAATAAGAAATTTGTTGGTGCTTTCCCTGAGAAAGTGGAAAAAAAAAATCTTGAGTTTGCTGCTGTCCTGTGCTCTTAGGAGTAATCACTCTCAAAGTTTAACTGAGGAAGAGCAGAACATTAGAATTGAATTGGGGCATCTGCAGCAAGCTGAGGAAGCTTTCTATAAACAAAAATCTAGATGAAGCTTGGTGATCCATATACTGTATTTTCTCTTTAAGTGGTGAAAGTGAGAACTTTGGGGAATGCTATTAGATCTCAGGTGGCCAATTATGGAAGCATCTTAAGATGTATGATGAAGTTGTGGCAGAACCTGCAGACTTTTATAAGACTTATTGGGTGCTCCAGATGTTAATTGCTCCAGTGGAATCATCTTTCAGCTAAGGAATTGCTCGACTATCAACTTTCTGATAATCTATAGGATCTCGTATCACAGTTGAGGAAATCCAAGCCTCTCTTTGGTATGGTCCTGGCGGGCATTCCTCTCATTTCTTCAAAGATTCTTGGCCTATCACTGATAGGGATTTTGGTGCTGCTATACTTAGCTTGTTTCGGGATAATCAATGCGTGAAAGCAGCTAAGGGCCCGTTTGGCAACTTGCCAAACAGTGAAAATTTCTATTCTTTTGTTCCTAAAATCAGTTTGGGAACAGAAATGCGTTTGTTAAAATTTTTGTGCCCGGGCACAATTTTGCAAAAAATTATTCCCAGAATCAATTTTGGAACAGAATCAAGAAGCAAAAAAAAAGTTGCTTCTTGATTCTGGAACAATTTTTCCATTTCTGATTCTTCTTGATTTTCTTCTTTTTTCTTGGTTTGTTGTTCTTCTTCTTTCCGGCTTGCCGCCTGCCTCCACCGGCCATAGGCTAGGGCTGGCGAGCGCATCGCGGCCGTCGCCGGCCACCCTTACCGCCGGGGCGAGCGCGGTTCGCGGCCGCGACGGCGAGGCCTCACCCAACCATGGCGACGGTGAGGTCGGCCTTGCCAGATCTGGGGGAGGTCAAGCCTCACCCAGCCAAGGCGAGACCGACCTCGCCGTCACCACCAGCGAAGTTGGCGGCGAGGGCCGTGACGCCCTCGCCGACCCTGGCCTGTGGCCGGTTGCCGGCGCCGGCGACCGGCCATGGCCAAGGAAGGGAAGGAAAAAAAATAAAAAAAAGGAAAAAAAGAAAGAAATATTAAAAAATTCAACATATTATTAAAATATTATTAATAAAAAGAAATTTTGTGTAGTTACCAAATGCATTTCTGTTCTTTTTCTATTCTAAGAATAGAAATTTTGGGCAGTTACCAAACGCCTTCAAATGCTTAGAAATTGTTCCCGGGCACGGAATAAAAAAGAATCATTTCTGAGCAGAATTTGTTCCCGGACACAGAATGGTTGCCATGCGCAGCCTAAGTTTACAGGTATCACTTTGGTCCCTAAAGTCCACATGCCTCTAAAATGGCTGATTATAAGCCTATCTCCTGCTGGATGTTGTCTACAAATCCATAACTAAAATCCATAGCGCTCCATTATTTTGTCAGTAAGAACCAATGAACTTTCACTGAGGGTAGGAAAATTGCTGATAATATCTTGCTTGCTCATGAAGATGTTAAGCTCTATCACAAGAAAGAAGTTGTCTTCTAGGAGTGTTATAAAGGCAGATCTTATGAAGGCCTTTGCTTAAGTGCATTGGCCTTTTATTTTCAATGTCATGGCTGCATTGGGTTTCCCTCGAGATTTTGCATTACTTCTGCATGCTTCTTTGTTACTATCAATGGTGGCCTTGAGGGTTATTTTCAAGGTGGTAAGGATCTCAGGCAAGGTAACCCAAATTTTTCTTATGGTGATTGAAGTGTTATGTAAGGCTGCTGAGCAACGAAAGCTGAAGTTTCATCCTTTGTGCTAAAAATAAAGCTCACTCATATTTGTTTTGCTGATGACATTTTGATACTAACTGATGGGAGTGTTGGGGCTCCAAAGGAGGCATTGGAAACATTTCAGTGCTTCTATAACCTTTCAATCGTATAGTTGAATCCAACAAAAACTGCAATGTATACTTCTGGAGTCTCTTTGAAGCTACTCCGGGGGAGATGGCTCAGCTGAGTGGTTTTAAAAGAGGTTCTCCACCTGTGAAGTATGTAGGGCTTCCTTTAACATCTGGGAAGCTATCTGAAGCTGATTGCAAGGCCTTAATTGAGAGACTTTTGAGTTAGTTAACAAGCTGGACTGCTAGGAGACTGTCTTTTGCTGACAGGTTACAACTCATAAGCTCAGTCCTAGATAGCATTGTCTCTTATTGGTGTGTTATCTTTATTTTGCCCAAAAAAAGTCATCAAAACAATAGAGAGGTGCAGTAATTCCTTTCTTTGGACTGGTACTGATGATAAGTTGAGAGAATTGAAAGTGAAATGGGAGGTTGTTTATCTACCAAAGAAGGAAGGGGTTTGGGATTGAAGCAAATATAGCACTGGAACAAAGCTTTAGCCACGATTTGGCTGCTATTGGTTGAATCTGGATCCCTTTGGATAGCTTGGGTTAAAGCTTTTCACTTGAAGAATAATAGCATATGGCAGGTTGCTTCTTCTGCTACTTCCTCTTATGTTTGGAGGAAATTGCTCAAGCTTAGACATGAGTTTAGACCTTTTATTCAATATGTAATTTGGGATGGAAAGAGCACTTTTCTGTCGCAGGATCCATGGCATTCATTGGGGGCTTTGTTGGAAATCTTCGGAAGAAGGATTGTGTATGATTCTGGTCACTTTCTCCAAGCCAAGGTTCTGATGTTATTGAAGATAGCAGAGGGAACTGGCCTATTGCAAGATTAGATGATTTGGTATTGATTCGATCATCTTTGTGTAACTCTATCTACCAACTCAAGGCAGCCTGATAAGGTTTATTAGACTACGCCATCTTCAAAGAACCAAAGAAAGTGGAGTGGCACAACCTGATTTGGTTCTCCACTGAAGTACCAACATAGCTTCATAGGCTGACTGGCCATTTTGAACACACACTATCCAAAAAGGATAGGATGAGAAAATGGTTTTCTTCTATGAATGAGTGGTGTGTTCTTTATGAATCTCACTTGGAGTCAAGAGATCATCAATTATAGAATGTGTGGTATCTAAAGAAGTGTAGCAGCAAGTTTATAGTAGATGTGTTGTTAGATCTCTACAGCATTGGAATCAAGAATTGCAAAGGGCTTCCAGGACTTGGAGAGGCAAAGCCATTCCTGCTGTTATTTTCAAGTTAGCATGGTGTGCAAATATTACTCATATACGGGCTGCAAGGAATAAAAAGATACATGAAGACTCTTATGTTGTTTCTAACAGTTATATCTTATTGTTCAGCACGATGTCATGTATAGGCTAAGTAATACAGCTGCTTTCTCTCAGCATATAGACATTTGTCGTAGATGGAGGTTGTTGTAATTTTGTTGTTGCTGTGTTCGAGCTAATGCCATACTGCCCTAATCTATTCTTGAATAGGAATGCTTGCTTACTCAGCAAAAAAATATGGCTCATATATTTTATCCTTTTCTTTATTAAGGTAGTTGATCTTTTTCTCTGACCAAATTAGAATTTGTGACAGCTAGATTCTTAGCTTCCTATCATAATTTCCAGCCAAAAAAGTCCTCAGTAAAACACTCTTAAAAATATATGGAAGATAGGCTCATATTTAACCCCCCACCTAAAAAGGAGGTAGGAAAATGGTTGTGCGTGCCTCATCTGGTTTATCACCGGATAATAATTGTGGGAACGGTGTGAATGAGTTTGGATACCTAATCGTTTGCTTTGAGTAAGAAAATAAGTTCCCCTAGACTCTACAGACAATTGTTAGATGAGGTTTTTTTTGGCCAGAGTTAGAAGAGTTCAAATGGCCATTACAGGCTTCGCATTGAATCCTTCTCAAACATTGAAGAGGATGCTGTTAAATGCAAGTTCATTGATGTCCAATCACTAATTTGTTAGAAACATCGATGAACATATCATGAAAGTGGGAACAGAACAATTGTGCAAAGTTTCAAGTGACCCTGAAGGTGCACGAGGCTAGAACTTAATAATTAATGTGGGAACAGAATAATTGTGCAAAGTTTTAAGTGACCCTGAAGGTGCATGAGGGCTAGAACTTAATAATTCTTCGACAAGTTTCAACGGCTCTTAATCAGTCGAACAACTGGATAGTGAAACCCATTCACAGAGTAGCATTATATAATTTTATAGAAGAGGGAAAAAAGAACTTCATAAACGATGACATTAAGGCTGCCAGGATAAAATAGTATCAATGTATCTCTAGAATAAGAAAACGAAAGATCGGCCGAGATAACAACATAAGGAAAATGTTAAAAAGTGTTCCTAAGGCACTTGCTTAGGGTCATCAAATGTGCTTTGAAAACATAGATATTTCTCTTTGAAGTAGGTGACTTTTTTGAAATATATTAGTACTCAATTTTCAAAGTTTTTTTACGCATAATTACTATATTTAGTGGTCTTAAGTAATGCCTTTGAACCACTCATTAATAAGACCCATAACACAAAAATATAGAAGCCAATAAGAGATTGACTCTATTTCAAATGGTTTCTGCTGTATATCAAAAGCTTTCCTTATCAATACTGGAGAAATGAGAACGCTAAATGGAAGTAGAGTTTCTCAACAAACCACTACCCATTTGAGAGAGAGAGAGGAATCACAAAGTTTTGACATGAAAAACACTATCTGAATGTTCAGTATGTATCATAACTCTTGCTCATCTTGAGTGAGGCCATTGTCGGTGCACCATGGGACAAGTTGGGATAAAGCTGGAGTTATCCTTATCCTGATACACAAGCGTAACCTACACTCTAGATGAACTAAGATTCCTTGAGATTGTGCCCAGGGGGCTTTAAACCATATGAAAGTAGGCCTTATCCCAGTCATCCAACCGCCTCAGTGGTAAAAGCTTTGCTCCTCATTATGCCATAGTGCGACTAGATCTATTCATGCCTATGCTCCAAGGTCATTGTAAACAGCAGTGTAACAAATTTTGCAAGTACCAGATCTGTCAATATTCTAGTTTCAACCATAGTCCTCTTGTCATTCACAGTCACCTTTCAGTATTTGCATGAGAATGATTTCTATTTTATTAAACTTGTTAATGATATGATTCCATCATAAGCATAAATAATTGTTTCTCCTAGCCAATCAAAGAAACTAAATCTCCATCCTCAACCCAAAATCATCAATCCACAAGATGAAATAGGTTATCATCAATACGCCAGCTATTTCTCGCTGTAGATATTTATTAAGGTGAAAAAAGTTTGAACTATTTCAATTTGGCTTTACATGTTAGGAGATATTACACTTTCTCTGTCATTCAAGAACAGTACCTGCTCATAAATATATGGTATCATACAACCATAACTGAGACATAAATCTGAAAGAAAAAATGTCAGAATGACTCACTGGTCGGAGGGTTATGCTGAATTCATTCTCTTTTCCATCCCGAAGAACTCTGATTAAGGCCGTTTCATTGGGCGTCTTCATGGATGCCAAATGATCAAATGTAATGCGCTCTCTGTTCCGGAAAGGAACTGCAATAAGCATCGCATAAAAGGAACATTAGGTTCAACAAAAACACATGCCAAAAAAAGCACAAAAAAACTCAAAAGCAGAACAATTAGATAAGCCCGGTGTCACAGACAAAAAGCCAGGTACACGTGTCTAGCTACTACAAACTCAAAAAGATTGAAATCACTGAGATGCCAACGACAAAAAAATGCATGGCACATTGAGGGTGGATACGAGTAAAGCCAGGGTAATTATGAAATTAGTACTATCCATGTATTTTGACCAACAAGAATTATATTAACACGAATATATTCCCTGCTATTGGCATGATGGTAAACTACGGCTGAATGCTATAATTATACAAACATACTTGTTCCATCATTTGCCACAGGCACACCATCAAATGCAAGGATGACATCATCCTTCTTGAGGATCTTATGAGCATCTGAAAGAGGGTTGATTTTGTTTACAAGAACTCCAGTCATTTCTGGCAGCATCCCGAAGTGGTTTCTCAGTTGAGAATTTTCAGTTGGCTGGCATGACAAGCCAAGGGAGCAAAATCCTGTGTATTCTCCTCTTTCTTCAACACCAAAAATGTAGTGTTTGATTACTGGAACCGGAATTATGTATCTACAAACCATAGATAAAAAATTAGTGGAGAACTAAGAGAATTAATTTATGAGAATTACAAGAGGAAATACCTCCAAAATAGTGATCACAACTTCTTAGCAATTCCAACCACTGCATTCACTATTTCAACTACTAGAAGGATGGTATATTCAAAACCAATCCAAACAAGAAGGAACTATCTTTTAAGCACTCTCATGTTCAATTGTTGAAATCTATTTTAATGTGATTTTCAAGATATATGTACTTTATTCAATGGCATATAATGATCATGATCTGTATGAAGTACTCATAGTGACATCGTTTTGTGATGGCAATTAAAAGGAAAGAATTCATTAAGTATCCATATGATGCCTTTCTAGGTACACAACCATGCATATGAAGCTAGAAGGAGTGCAGCAGCAAAGGCCACTCCATGAGGCAAATCCAAACGCTGAGGTATATGATAAGAAGCTTATGCTAAGAAGTTGCTCTATCCTTAATGTTGCAAAGAGTGATCTGCTAGCCAAGCCTCAGTACTTGAACATTTTGCTTAAGTGAAGTCCAAGAAGGATAAAAGAAGGTCGATAATTTGCTGTTGAGGTGATAGCTTTCTCCATCCTCAAAACAGGACAGATATCCACATGATCATGTGAAGATAGAAAATACTCATCGAGTACAATTGTTCAGAAGCGTAGCATGAACTAACAACTCGAGCACATTTTGTCTAGGATTCTCGATGCATACTAGGTAACAATCAAATTGGACAAAGAGGAATGAAAGGTCTGAGCAAGTACATCTCATTGATAAGCAAACAGCTGATCTACTCAACTGAAATTGGAAGTGTCTAGGGGAAAGTCAAACGAGAAATTATTCATGTATGGAACCTCTACACAGAACACAAACTGAGTCGATTGGAATTCAACAGGATAAAAAGGTTTAGCATTATTTTTAAGTTCTAAGTGTATGAGGAAGCTCTAACAGAATAAATCCTTACATGAGAAAGAGGGAATAAAACAAGGTCAGTGCAATAGATGTCTGGTATGTAGACCGTGACCAATGTTCTCATCGTAAAAGGAACAGAAGAACTCACCCAATATTCTCAGAACCAGTTAGGTTCTGGAAAGCTACACCGACAACTTTATCACCCATGAGAGCAGGGCCCCCACTATTTCCCGGGTTTATAGCTGCATCAATTTGGATTGCCATAAGTTGAGTCGCACCATGCGCATATTGAGTAGGCTCAACTCTGGAGACAACACCTTTGGTTATGGAAATATTGTCCCCACCTACAACGAAGCAAGAGTTAACTTACTCACTCACTAACAGTGTAAAATAGGTCCGGAATTGAGCGGCAAGTACCTTGAGGATACCCAACAACAGCTATAGCTTCTTGTAGGAACGGAATGTCTCCAAGCTCCAAGAAACTCATGCCCGCCCAGAATTCTTGACTGTCCACCATCAGAATGGCCAAGTCACATTCATGACCAACAGACAGGACATGTGCCCGATACTTGGTAGGCGAACCGTGCTTTCTCACGAGAACGAATGTATGGTCTGCAACTACATGAGCGTTGGTAATAATTCTTTTCCCATGGATGACAAATCCTTCAGTTTCAGTCAGCAGGGAAACAAGATTAGATTTTAGACGCGAGGGACAAAAAGGGTCAAACGGCAACAAGAGGAGGGGCACCCACCAGAACCCCACGTCTCGCGAGGGGGCTTGTTCTGCCAGGGAAGCAAGTAGTTGGGGCTGCTGGAGACGGTGAAAATCTTGACCACCGAGTCCAATGCCGTTTCTATCCCCGCACACGCGGCGCTCTCGCCTTCGCTTGCGATGCTCGAGAGGGATCGCGAGGTGGAAAACCGACCCAAGGTGGTATTGGCAGCGTCGGCGACGCGACGAAGGCCATAATTACAAGGGTCGGGCCTGGAACAAGAAGAAGATAAGAACCTCCTGCAACAGCCGGCATCGCCGCCGCCGGACGGAGGGAGACGACTGAGACTCAGCAGCGACAAGGAAAGCCTGCGAACCCTTGCACTTGCAGCTGACCAGCTCAATATCATCGTTCAGCCAAAGGGGCGGCAATGCCCCAATATGAGACTGGCCCTTCCACTTTACTACCAAGGGCGAGCAGACATCGCTTCACGTTACCTCGGTTTCACCAAGTTCTGAGAGCTGCTAGTCACTTCTGCTGTTTCGGACAGCCGACGCCACCGGATGCGGAAACAACATCACCAACCCAAGTTCTTCATCACTGTAAAAATGGGTTCTTCTTGCGTACGAAAATTTGTCACAGCAAACTGGACGGTGAGAAGAAGTTATGGAGGAAGACAGAGGACGGCGGCGACGGAGACGGTGGCCTGAGAAAAAAAATGTCGGTGACTTTTGGATCTGTACCTTAACCTAAAATAAAGTCACTGTGGTGGAAATGAAAACATTTTCTTTTTCAAATAAGTCCGTTCCGACAAAACTATTCCGTGAATGGATGTTCTTTTCTTTTGCCAAAAAGAGTAAATTTACTCATCTGAAAATTAGAAGAAGAAAGGAACAGAGAATTGAATGCAAGAATTCAATTTAGAAAAAAATTCCCCACGGTTAATTAATGATAAAAGGGGAATAAAATACTTGGAGCATTCTTTTAATTATCAATATGGAAGTGTAAGGAGAAAATGAGAAAATTGCAAATTTTCAAGATATGATCGCGTAGAGGTGTGTGTTTTTAGTGATGGGGCCAACCATAACCGTATTCACCCCGCCATTAGGGGTGTCAGAAACCGAATCGAAATCGAAATCGAACCGAACCAAACCGAAAATTCATGCATTTTTGGTTCAGTTTCGATTTCGGTTCGGACAATAAGTAAAAAAATTTGGTTAGTTGATGATTCGGTTCAATTTGGTTCGGTTCGGTTTGGATCGGATCAAATTTCGGTTCCATTTTGTTTTTTCTTCTCTTTGAGTACTTTCTCTCTCTGCTGACTCTGAGTCTCCGACCGTTCATTATTGCTCTGCTTTCACTCTCTTTTCTTTCTCTCTTTCCTTTTTATGCTCTATTCTCTCTCCTCCTCTATCTTCGCAAAACTCCATTTCCATCTCTCCCAGATTCAATCGTCTGGCTCAAAGGCCAATGTCTCATCCTTCCCCTTTCCTTCTTCGATCTCATTTTGGTGGATCGTCACTAAACGAGAAGGATACCGCGACGGAGCTCGAGCCCTCCTGATCTCGAGCCTCGAGCTCCACGCCGCCGCCGTGGAGCTTGAGGTCATCCAGCATGGCCGAGATCTCGAAGGCCTCCAGAATCGTCTGGTGAAGAATCGTCTTTGTCCTTGTACTCGGGGAAGCTTGCGGCTTCATCGAGGACGACGGCGAGCTCGGCGTGGCCATGTCGCCGGTCTGGGTCAAGGAGGGGAGGGTGCGAAGGGAAGAAGCGCAAAAAAGGAAAAAAAGAGGAAAATCGAAAACCGAACTGATCCGAACCGATCCGAACAGCATTTTTGGTTCGGATCATATCCGGTTCGTGTGCCTTTCGGTTCGGATCAAAGCACACCTCCAAACGGTTCGGTTCGGTTCGATTTTCCTAAAAATCCGAACCGAACCGAACCGTTGACACCCCTACCCGCCATGCATGCCGGGCACGGAAATCATCCCTAAAATCCGTATATTTTTCATATATTCCCTAAATAGAAAATACCCCCTTAATAAAAATAATAATAACTCCTAAGAGGACCAAATAAAATCCTGAACTTCAAAAAATAAAAATAAGAATATAACCTCGAAGCGGTAGAAGATAATTAACTTATGAAAATCCCCACTTTTGAATTGACCTCCAAACTTGGAAGATACCCCGACTAATTTCAAAATGAGCTTGAATAATCTCGATTATGATCCTTAAACCCTTAATAATTCTGAACACCGAATGGCCCTCAACGAAACTCTTAAATAATGTCAATATCATAAGTAATTCATAATTAGTAAATACACCTTGATTAATCTCTTAACCTCTAATTAACACCAAAATCCAAATACCCTAAAAAAAACCCTACACTTGAAATAACCTCTATATGCAAAACAGTACTTTAATAGTAGTTGTGGTTTCGGACTTAACCAATTAGTGTCCACATCTGAAAAAGACCAATGCAAATTTGTCGTATTGATGATAAAAAAGAAGAAGAGAAATTTGAGGTATTGGTGTTACATTAAACATAGTTTAGGATTTTTTGTGACACAATAAAAATTTCAGGCTATTATTATTACAGTGGAAATAATTTAAGTTCTTTGGTGATCTTAACCCAAATCACTAAAAAAACAGAATCGTTTTTTTGTAACTTGAAATAGACCCCCACACAACGCTTTCAACTTAAAGTGAAAATAAAAGATCTCTGTGATAATCAAAGCATGTTGAGTTAAAATGTTAATTTCGCAAATTTGGCAAATTCAAAAAAAATGAAAATAGCAATCCTTCCAGACATCGTTACTTCCTTTTTTTCACCAACCATATCCATTAACCCTCACTCAACATAGATTATGCGTCGACGAGAGGCGAAATCATTGATCAAAAGAGCCCTGAAAATAGCACATTTACAAAGGAATCTATGTTTCAAATTATATGCAAATGCTGTAAGGTTTTGGACCAAATTTTAGTAATTACTAATGGTAGGACCTACATAGGCATCTTTTGGTACCATGCATAAGTAATGGAATGAGGGACCTGATCATTTTTCATTCATCTGCGCCTTGTTGGACTATTGCTCTTATCAGCATCAAAAGGACGTCAGGTTGATAATGGACAGGATTTCGAGACGTTCAAAAGGTGTTGGGTATGTGCTTCGCCATAAAAACAGCTTTATGACATTTACATGCCTGTAGAGTATCTTAAGCATATCTTATTCGAAGGATCAAGTTTAACTGTATTCTTAAACTCACTAGCAATGCGATAATGATGAGGGATGATGGGAATACCTTGCGCTCATGTTTTATCAATTCATGCTGCGTTGCCAAGGTAGATGACATGACCCTGAGTTCCTTTTATTTTCGCCATGTCTACTTCTTGTTACACAGAGCAGCGAAACACCTGTGGAAGCTATCAAATTCTTGGATTGAATTTTGCACCCAGTACTTAGTGAGTGACGGTTGTTTCATGTAGGGATAAACCAGGTATTCGCATTTTCTTGCGTGGATGCTTTGTAGTCTATGGCCGATCTGATCCGATCAGAATAACTACAGGTGGTTAATATAATTGAATTGCCTATAGGTGGTAGTTTTGACAATTTAATTCACTTCTTTCAGTTTCATACTCTTTTGAGATATTGGTGCTGGGACGAGATACTGTGAAATTAACATAAGGCACGGCTATATTATAGCCTGGTATTCTGTCATTTTTGTTCTTTTTCTCTTCTGTAATTACCTTTCATCATTGCTTTCTTATATCTTCATTGCAATGAGCTAACTTTTTCTTTTCATATGAGGTGTCAGATTCATCAAACGAACCTCAGCTTGAGCTCACTTCACGAGAGCTTTTGTTTCCCTGCTTCAATTTGCTATGCTTTGTAAGTTTTGATCACAATTTCTGGTGGCATACATGTCCTGACCAACTTAGAGGAGCCTCGTGATGCTGCAGGTACATTGAATTTTATGATGCAATGTCAGTACCAATGGCAACAGTGCTCTCTGGACAGCTACTTCTTGGGAAACTTGTGATGGTTAAAACCTTCGGAGGCTGAGAAGAATCTTGTTCAGTCTACCGCCACTGGTGCTTCAGGTACTGCCAGAGCATATGGAACCACGGACAGGAAACTCTTCACGGGGAATTTACATTTTAATCACTACAAAAAAACATGAATTTTGCGACGGAAATTTGCGACAGAAATTTTTCGTCGCTAATTTGCGACAAACTTTGCGACAGATTTCTAATTCCGTCGCAAATTAGCGACGAAAATTTTCCGTCGCAAATTTGCGACGAATTTTGCGACGGATTTATTTTCCGTCGCAAATTAGCGACGGAAAATAAATCTGTCGCAAATTCCGTCGCAAATTTGCGACGGAAAATAAATCCGTCGCAAAATTCGTCGCAAATTCCGTCGCTAATTTGCGACGGAAAATAAATCCGTCGCAAAATTCGTCATAAATTTGCGATGGAAAAGTTTCATCACTAATTCCGTCGCAAATTAGCGACGACTAATTTTTCGTCGTAAATTTGCAACGAATTTTGCGACGGATTTATTTTCTGTCGCTAATTTGTGCAATGAAATTTACCATTTTGCAACGAAAGTAGAGACGAATTGGATGATTGCCACAAGTTCAAATTCAAAAGAGATTGGACGATTTGCTACACGTCCAATTCTAAGAGAGATTAGATTTACAAATTCAAATTAGATAAGAAGATCTATTATAAACTCAAGATATTAGATAATCTCTTAAAATGTTCTCATCCCAAATAAGCTTTTTTAGATTCGATAGGTGCAAATCTTATCTTTTCTTTTTTCAAGACTTAGATATAGATAACGCAGATATCTATTTAGTTGAATGTGGCGGTTTCCTCCGCACGTAGCTCTTGTGTATGAGTAAATATATGGGTAAATAAATTATAGCAATTTTCAAATAGATCGGAATCGGGTGGATGTATGAAATGTAAAGTCAATGTATCTATATAAGGATATCTATAGGAGATCTTATAAAAGAGATATTCTTATTTAGACCTAACCAATTTGATCTAACCAATTAGATGAATTACTCCTAAAGGGTTACATCCGAATGATAAGTGAATAGAGGGCATGCATTCTATTAGAGAAATATTTAGAAGATTCCCTATATTTCCTTTAATTGATTGTAATTGATATTTTCCCTTTTAGATAGTCATCCTATAAAACCGATAAATAGGTTTGTGTACTCTTCATTTGACAATGATATATATATATATTTTTTGCTCTTAATTTTTTTATCACATTCTTGACTTGGTATCAGAGCTCTATTGTTATTTGAGAAAGCGTCAATCGAGTCTGTTTGTAACAATGACATCCACATCAATCATGTTTCTCCACAATGTTCGTAATGCTAGTCACATTATATGTAAAAGTGTAGAAGCATATCTACTCAAGGTTTCGACGGAATTAGCGATGGATTTGAAAAATTGGTCGGTAAAAACATTTCCATCGCTAATTCCGTTGCAAATTTGCAACGGAAACAAAATCTGCGATGGAAAAAAAAATCCATCTCAAATTTTGCGACGGAAAAAAAAAGCAGTTGCAAAAATTTGTGACGGAAAAAAAAATCCGTCGCAAATTTACGACGGAAAAAAAAATCCGACGCAAATTTGCGACGGATTTTTTTTTTTCCGTCGCAAATTTGCAACGGATTTTATTTCCGTCGCAAATTTGCGTCGGATTTTATTTTTGGGGCAAATTTGCGAAGGATTTTATTTCCGTCGCAAATTTGCGACGGATTTTTATTTTCCGTCGCAAATTTGCGACGGATTTTATTTCTGTCGCAAATTTGCATTGGATTTTATTTTTGGGGCAAATTTGCGACGGATTTTATTTCCGTTGCAAATTTGCGACGGATTTTTATTTTCCGTCGCAAATTTGCGTCGGATTTTATTTTTGGGGAAAATTTGTGACGGATTTTTTTTCCGTCGCAAATTTGCGATGGATTTTTATTTTCCGTCGCAAATTTGTGACGGATTTTATTTCCGTCGCAAATTTGCGACGGATTTTTTTCCCGTCGTAAATTTGCGATGGATTTTATTTTTGGGGCAAATTTGCGACGGATTTTTATTTTCCGTCGCAAATTTGCGACGGATTTTTTTTCCGTCGCAAATTTGCGTAGGATTTTATTTTTGGGGCAAATTTGCGACGGATTTTTTTCACGTCGCAAATTTGGGACGGATTTTTATTTTCCGTCGCAAATTTTGCGACGGATTTTTTATCCGTTGCAAAATTTGCGACCGATTTTTTTTTCCGTCACAAATTTGCGTCGGATCGAAAATTTTCAAGAACCCGCGTGGAAAATTTTCAGGAACCCGCGCGCTATCCCCCCTCGCGCCATCGTCTCCCCTTCGCTCGCTCTTTTTATTCCCCCACCACCACAGCGTTCCCCCTCTCTCTCTCTAACTTCTCTCCCTCTTTCTCTCTCTCTAGCATGATCCGCCGCTCCTCCGCCATGATCCGCCGCCTCTACCAGCCCCACCTCCTCCCCTCCGACTCCCTCGCCGCCTCCTCCGACGACGATGCCGCTACCACCAAGCGCGGCAAGAAGCGCGGCAGCTACAACTGCGGCCGCTGCGGCCTCTCCAAGAAGGGCCGCTCCTGCCATGCCGGCTCCTCCCCTTCCCCCTCCCCCGCCGCCGACTCCTCCTCCTCCGCCACTGCCGCTGTCGCGGCCTCCTCCATGCCCGTCAACGCCGCCGCTGCTGCCGCCTCCTCCGCGTCCACTGTCGCCCTCATGCCGTCCTCGCTCTCATCCGCCGCGTGCTCTCCTTCGACGACCTTGACGTCCGCGCCGACGAGGAGGAGGAGGACTTCGACGAGGTGGAGCCGGATCTCGACGAGCGGGATCGGGATTTCGTGGACGGGGATGCGGACGCCGGCAGGTTGCCCGCCAGGTGCTTGTGGGAGGTCCTGAGGAGGTTGCCGCCGCGCAGAGCTGCTCGCGGTGGTGCGGGTGTACAAGGGGTGGCGGGAGATCTCGAGGAGGGTGTGGTGGGCCGCCGAGAATATGAAGCTCAGGGTTCCCTCGAGAGCTCAGCTCTGTACTGAGAATTTATATTAAAGCATGTACTATTGTTGTCAATATTCATGTACTTGATATCAGAGGTTAATATACCAGGTTTCAGCCGTGGATTAGATACAATTTGCATTGTGCCAGTTGTGAGGAGGCCAACCTGTAATAAATTTTTGCTGCACATTCGTAACTATTTTTATAATTCGTTTCTAATTTGCGACGAATTAATAAAAATTCGTCGCTAAATTCATTCTCGAATAATGTTCGTGGCAAAATAGCGACAAATTTTGCCACGAATCACTTTGTCGCAAATTATTAACAAAAAAAAAAAAATTTCGTGGCAAATTAGCAACAAATTTTGCGACGAAAAATTAGCGACGAATTTTGCGACGAAAAATTAGCGATGAATTTTACGATGAAAATTTGTGACGAAAAATTAGTGACAAATTTTGCGATGACTTTTGCGATGAATTTTGCGACGGATTTTGCGACGATTTTTGCAACGAATTTTGCGACGAAATATTTGCGATGAACTTTGTGACGGATAGTGTTCGTGGCTAATTTGCGACGAATTTTGCGACAAAATATTTGCGACGGATAGTGTTCGTGGCTAATTTGCGACGATTTTTGCGACGAAATATTTGCGACGAACTTTGCGACAGATAGTGTTCGTGGCTAATTTGCGACGATTTTTGCGACGAATTTTTTTTTCGTCGCAAAAATTTGCGACGACCTAGTAGCGACGGAATTTTGTCCGTCGCTAAATTTGTCGCAAAAATGATTTGCGACGGATTTTTGCGATTTTTTCGTCGCAAAATCCGTCGCAAAAAACATGTTTTTTTGTAGTGAATATGACAGAGAGTCATCTGAAAAGTGTAAGTTTTATTTTGTAAACCATCGTTACCTGTTTAAAGATACTGTGCTTTCACAGTTGGACTTCTATTGTAACAGAATTAGGGGGTGGGGCAGGTTGTTTGGGTTATCCAATTTAATCTTGTTGTGGGCAACTTAATCGAAAGCATCATAAATGGGAATGTAGGATATCCCTTTCCCTGCCTGACTTTGTTCTTAATCCCAGCCTTTTGAAGATATATGTATAGTTGCCTTCTGATTCTGCAAGGTTAATTAACATGTACCATGCTGTTGGGAATTAGATCTTTTAGGCTTTTGGTCTTGTTGAGCTGGTGCAATTGCCCCTTGATCCGGAGACTGGTACCTACAAAGGATTTGGGTTTGTTCAGGTCTGTAAATGTTTCTGGTTGAATTAGTGGTTTGTTCCCTTGTTTTTAGATTCTTGGTGTGTTAATTGATTGTCCGTTGCAGTTTGCTCAGCTTGAACATGCTTAAGGCTAGGGGTGTCAACGGTTCAGTTCGGTTCGGATTTTTAGAAAAACCGAACCGAACCGTTTGGAGGTGTGCTTTGATCCGAACCGAAAAGCACACGAACCGGATATGATCCGAACCAAAAATGCTGTTCAGATCGGTTCGGATCAGTTCGGTTTTCGGTTTTCCTCTTTTTTTCCTTTTTTGCGCTTCTTCCC